CCCGCGGGGGGAGAAGGCGAGGGGGTGAGGCCCGTTTTAGGGTGGAAACCGCCCCCCTCATCTGCGCTGCCCACGGCCCCGAGCCTGTCTCTGCCAGGGCAGGATGTGGCTCTTGGGACTTGTTAATATATTTTTTCCCACAAAAATGTTTTTTATTGTTGTTTGTTTTTTTTTAAAAAAAAGCAAAATCTTGGTGTAATGAAAAACCGTGCTTGGAAAGGGAAAATACTGACTTGCAGAAAGTCTTTCTGTTTGCTTCATCTGCGCTGCCCACGGCCCCGAGCCTGTCTCTGCCAGGGCAGGATGTGGCTCTTGGGACTTGTTAATATATTTTTTCCCACAAAAATGTTTTTTATTGTTGTTTGTTTTTTTTTAAAAAAAAGCAAAATCTTGGTGTAATGAAAAACCGTGCTTGGAAAGGGAAAATACTGACTTGCAGAAAGTCTTTCTGTTTGCTGGCCGGGGCAGGCTGCTGCTGGCGCCGCCATCCTGCCTTTTAACGTTCTTTCCTTCCTGCACGTTTATTTCTATTTACATGTTTTATACGAACTGAAATGAAATTAATTTAGTAAAAGCGACGTTTCCTGCAGGATGGAGGTTCTGGGTCTCCAGTTTAGCAACCGCCAGTCGCTTGGCCCGTAGCTAGGCTGAGGAATGAGATAGCAGGAACGGATGGTGCTGGGGTGGGACGGATCCTGCCCTGCCGAGGCTGTGGCCCCCCGACGCCCACGGTTTGGGGGTGGCGATGCTGGGAGCAGGGTGGGAGCATCCCCGGCTCCGAGGGGGGGGGGCTGACGGTGTGTCCTTCCCCCCCAGCCTACAAGACGGTCTGCGGTGTCAACGGGCCCCTGGTGGTGCTGGACAATGTGAAGGTAGGAGCTCGTCTGCCAGCGGGTGACGAGGGGACCCCTCGACGGTGTCACTTTGGGCTGTGCGGGGACCACTGTGCTGTCCCTGCCTGGGCCTGGCTGCCAGCCCCCCCTCCCAGGCGGGGAGGGTGCAATGGGGGAGCGTGTCCCCTCTCCCCTGTCCCCTGGGCTGTCCCCTCCTCTCTGGGGTCCGTCAGCCGGCTCCGAGCTCCCTCCTCTGGACACGGCCGGCAGCAGAGCCCGTGTGTCAGCCTGCACACGCGTGTGGGCGTGCAAGTGGGCGTGCTTGCGTGTGCACAGGCATGGGGACGCGTGTGAGCGTACGGGTGGCCGTGTGTGCGCTCTGCCTGGGCACCCTGCGCTTGCCCCGTGTCCCCCTGCACCCAGGCACCTCCTGTCCCCTGTCCCCCTGTGCCCCTGCCCGAGCTCTGGCTCCTGTCCCCTGTCCCCCTGTGCCCCGGCCCGAGCTCCAGCTCCTGTCCCCTGTCCCCCTGTGCCCCGGCCCGAGCTCTGGCTCCTGTCCCCCATCCCCTGTGCCCCTGCCCGAGCTCTGGCTCCTGTCCCCCATCCCCTGTGCCCCTGCCCGAGCTCTGCCTTCTGTCCCCTGTGCCCCTACCCATGCTCAGCTCCATCTGGGAGCCTGGTCTGAGCAAGACCACGTCACGAACCCCAGCTCAGCCCGTCCCCCCAGCACCGGGTGGCACCTTGGTGGCACCCTGCCTGTCCCTGCTCCCGGAGCAGGGGCTGGGTTCACTTGGGTGGGCGCTGGGCATCTCAGCATCCCCACGTGGCCCGGCCAGCCGGGACCCTCCGAGGGGCTTTGTTGGCCGGTGGCTCGTTTCTATGGCCCCTTTCATGCTGAGCCTGGCAGGATGGAAATTAATAAGCTCAATTAAAGAGCCAGACCGTGGCGGGTGTTTCCTTCGCTTTGTTGTCCTTTATGCAAAGGTCTTTACAGAAGAATTAAAGTCCAAAGTTCACGGTGCCGGAGCCAGCCCCGGTGGCTGGGAGCGAGGAGGAGGAGGAGGAGGAGGAGACGGAAGAGAGCACAGAGTGTGCTGGGCAGGCAGGGCTGGGCAGGCGCACTCGTGGAACGAACCCCCCTGGACGTTGTCCCCAGGGCAGGACGTGTCCCTCAGCCAAGGGGCTGCAGAAAAGTCTCCTCCGTCCTCCCCGGGGGGTCCTGGCTGGGTGGGGGGCCGGGGAGGTTGGTCGGTGTCCCTGGGGGGGCTGCGGCCCTTGCCCCCCATGGGTGCTGGGTCCCGCTCACCTCTCTGGCCGATGCGAGGTGGGGTTGGTCGGGTCCCTGGGGGGGCTGCGGCCCTTGCCCCCCATGGGTGCTGGGTCCCGCTCACCTCTCTGGCCGATGCGAGGTGGTGGCAGCGTGATCCCCGACTTAACCTTTCACAGCTTAGGGGGAATTATGGGGGATCCAGCAGCTCCCTGGGGTCTTGAGTGGCGCGGGCAGGCCGGGCTCCTCTGTCCCACGGGGTCTGGCAATGGGGGGGGTCCCCGAGGGGTCCCCGAGAGATGCCACCAGCTCCGGGGGGTTTATCCGGGGCTGTGGATCGAGGTGGTGGCAGCGTGATCCCCGACTTAACCTTTCACAGCTTAGGGGGAATTATGGGGGATCCAGCAGCTCCCTGGGGTCTTGAGTGGCGCGGGCAGGCCGGGCTCCTCTGTCCCACGGGGTCTGGCAATGGGGGGGGTCCCCGAGGGGTCCCCGAGAGATGCCACCAGCTCCGGGGGGTTTATCCGGGGCTGTGGATGCGCTTTGGCAGGCTCTCGGAGACGCAGCTTTATGCAGGTGATGGGTCTGTCTGCTTCTGGTAGGGAGAGGGGTTTGCATTCCTTAGTTATCAGGCTCTGGGGAGCCTGGTGTGTCTGAGAGCACCCTCGGGGGAAGGGGGGCACCTTACAGCGTTGAGGAAACTGAGACACAGAACAGTGCCACAGCCTGGAGCACGCTCTGGGATGGGGCAGGGGCAGGCAGCACCTTCCCCCCGAAACCTCCTCCTGCCTGGGCTGGCGGTTCTGCCTGCGCCTGCCTGGCGTGGCAGGTGCTGCCTGTTGCAGGAGAAGCTGGCCCAGGACCCGCCGCCACAGAGCCAGACCCCCGAGCCGGCTGCTCCCGCACCCCCACCGCCACCACCGCCGCTGCCACTGCCGGCACCTGCTGTCCCCGTGGAGTAAGTGACACCGCCGGACATCCCGGTTACCTCCTGCAGAAAGCAGCTCCGGCAGCCCAGGGGCTTCCAGCTTGTCTCTGTCATAGCAAATAAGCCGGGCCGGGGGCAAACTCTTCTCCCCCCCCAACCCCATCGCTCTCACCCGCCGTGCCAGGCCGTCTCAAAATGGGCGGGTGCTGCCTGTTGGCATCAGCTGCTGAATGCCCCCCCCCGCCCCCGGTGTTCGGTGGCTGCAGGGAGCACGAACCCCCCTGACCATGGGAGGGGAAACTGAGGCAGCACTGAGGGACAGGCCCGTGCAGGCAGGGCTGGCCGGCAGGGGCTGCAAGGGGTGGTCTGGAGGGGGGGGAGAAGAGCCCCCCCACCCATCTCACCCTGACCCTGTCCCTACAGTTTGCCCAGTACGCTGAAATCGTGAACTTCATGCTGCCCAACGGCACCAGCCGCAGTGGGCAGGTCCTGGAGGTGATGGGCTCCAAAGCCATCGTCCAGGTGAGCCCAGCGTGGCGGGGACGTGGCGGGACAGGGGACGCATGGGCGCTGCATGGCCCGGGGCTTTGTCCCCGGGGCTCTGTCCCGGGGCTCTGTCCCCCTCCAGCGGTGGCTGCCCCAGCCCGCAAGGCCTCTTGTCCCAGCTCTCCCGGCATGCCAGGCTGCAAGACCGGTGTCCTGGGACAGGCAGCGTCCTGCGGGGCGGCTCCTCGCTGGCCCACGGCCCTTCGGCTGGAGCACGGGGAGCTTCCCCTGGGCTGGTGGTGTGGCACTGGCAGGGATGGAGCTGGTACCTGTGCCAGCAGCCCAGGGCAGGAGCATCTGGGTGCCAAATTCAAAATGACGACATCTGCACACGGCTTCAGCAGAATGCAGGGGCCAGACGTGGGCACGGTCCCGTGCTGGGTCTCCGTCCTGCTGTGCCTGTCCTCCCCTCGCCCGAGCTGCCCACTCGGGTCGTCCCCTCCGTGTCCCCGCTGGGGAGAGCCCGTCTGCGTGATGCCGCAGCCTCCTCGGGACCCCCCCCCCATCCCTCTTCCCCACGTCCTCCCCGTCGGCCTCCCTGGGCTGCCTCCCCCTCCATCCCAGCAGGAAAACTTACGACCCTCCTGCCATCACCCCACAGCCACCAGCCCTCTGCAGGGCCGGGACCGGGGCAGGCAGCGGGTTCCCGGGGTGCCCGGAGTGGGCAGGCTGCCCCCCAAACCAGGGCAGCCAGGCAGTGGGGTTTCACCGCGAACACCGGGGCCATTTGGGGCTGTCCTGCCCAATTAGCCTGCGTCCCCTCCTGCCCAGGTCCCCCCCCCCCTCAACCCAGCCCAGGCCTG